AGTCTGCACACTGCAAGGCTCCTCTACTTTCAGCTGAGTTTCTAAATTTGTAGCTGGCAGTCAGACCGACACGGCTGATGAAACAGCAGCACAAAAAAAAAAAAAAAAGCAACTGTTACCAAGGGTGAAACTTAAACTGCAGAGGTAAAAGGTTAAGGCCTCACGGTCTTTTCAGAGCTAACGTAAGAGAGTGAGGGGTTGAAAACTGTGATGCCTTCTTGTGCTCAACTGTTGCAACGACGCAGAAAAGTCCTTTCTAAATTTTAATGTCTTCTTATCTTACATTGTATTTCTGTCTATGCTTCAACCATTATCTGTTCTTTCACTTTGTTACTTGTAATTTCACTAAATCATGGAGTTTTAGTCACTGTCAAGGTTATTATGCTTCTGTTTCACCCTTGGAAAAAACCATCTTGATCTCAATGGGTTTTATGTGACACAGGCACAAACATTACCACACACTGAGATATATATATTTATATAAAAACAACAAGTCAGCAAGTCTTTAATTCAGATTGTTTAATGTTGATTCCATGCCACGTTTCATTAAGAACATTACAGATTCCTTCTCTGTGGCTCCAGTCAGATATCCAGTAGTACAAATCAGCTCCAAGTTACACATAATGAAGCAAAAACCAGAAGAGCAACAAAGAAAAATGCAAAGTAAAGAAACTCTCTAAACCTAGGAGCTTTAGTAAAAAGCAGGGGAGAAGTAACGTGTTAATTCATGCACACACACAATGATTTGTTGTGTTCTCCTTCGTAGAGTGAGACATCTCCCAAATGTTTGATTTTGATTAAAGCTCTGAAGACGTCAGCCTTTAGACACTCAGTGTGTGAGTCTCTACAGTATTTTAGCACTAAGATCAGTCTAAGAACTACCAGAGAAAAGAATCACTATAGTGTAAAAGTTAATCACTTCTTTGCCCCACGTGGATATCACAAATTTTGCCAACTTCCTCTGAAAAACTATGGTATTAAAAAGGGTACCTGAAGTTTTCCAAACTGTCCACAAAAAGGTGAAATTATCTGCTCAACATTTCACTAAAATCAGAGATAAAATAGCTCCCATAACTAATATTCAACATAAGTAATAAAAGTTAATTTCTGTAATTACATTAAGAAAAAAATCTCAATACATCCAGCAACTGATAAAAATATTGAGGGGGGGGAAAAAAAAGCAAAAACAAAAATACAACATTGGAAAACAAAGTTAACCTTCAGAACTGCTTGTACCAGGACAAAACACAGCAAACAACCCAGGGAGCACTGTCTTCATCTGTCTAACATCGTACGTCCCGTCTCACTTAAGTGGTATATAATCCAACGGTAGAAGGGCTAATACAAAAATAAGAGAAAAATAAACTTAACTCCACAGTCCTGATGGGTCTTGGAATTCCAGAGGAAAGGAAATGGAGGGGAGAGAGGGGGCTTAAGGAGGAGACTCATAAAAGAGGGGGAGGGCCAAAACAGAGGGGTGAGGAGTGTGAGGAGGTGACGAGGAGGTGGGTGGGTGGGGTCAGGTTGTTGGCTGTCGGTGGGAAAGTCTCACTGGGCCTCGTCCTCCACATCTTGCAGTGCCTCTTTGTTGTGCTCCTCACCTGGAGAACACAGGAGCTGCTGTTAGAGATGATCCAGCTTCCACCTTCACCACCTGCTCTACAGGCTGAACATGGACCATAAGACCAGCTGCAGTTTGGACTGCACAGTTTAAAAAAGTGTTTAATGCCCTTCTTATTAAATGTCTTTAAAATTCAAGGTACAAAACCATGTAAACAAAAAACTTAAAGTGAGATTTAAACACTGTTATATCAGGAACAGGTGAAAGTTAGGTGGCGTTGACAGAACTTGCTGAAATGTAAAAGTGCTCATAAACCAAGCAGCTGCTGATGCAGGAGCAGTGATGTGAACAAGAGCAGCAGGTGGAGCATTCAAGCATGTTTGTTGCTTAAAGCCAACATTGTAGCTGTGCTAAAGTAACTGATCAAACCCAGGCTTTAACCTCTGTTGATCCACTGCTTCACACAAACATTGCTTATAGATCAGGGCTATTCAACTGGTGGCCTGCGGGCTACATCTGACTGACCAAAGTCTGGCCCGCCAATTAATTCATTCATCTCTTAAAGCCCAAACCCCTGGTTTTCTACTTTAATTACTGTAAGTTGTTTTAATTAAACATAGACATGTTTAGTATCTACAGAAACATCTGAATCTTGGCTACAAACTGGTAAAAACTATTTCTACGAACGTCCAAGACAGTTAAAACTACAATAAGCTGAAGATAAAACTATGAAAGTAATAATAAAATTGTTTTAAAAATTTGGTAAGTCAGAGATGTTAAAATAATATTTGTGTTAAATATGAGGCAGAATGTGCTATTTTTGATTTTGTTGTTGTTTGATTGCCACTATTTTTATAGGGTTCTGTATGTTGTATTCATGATTAAATACAGTAAAATAAACTATTTCAAAGGTAAAAGATCTTTGTAACTCTTGGTTTATTTACATAATAACCAAAGACTTAAATATAAAGATCACTAGACTGAGCCCTGCCCATCCCATCCACTGGTAACCTCTGTGACATCATGGAGGAGCAGAACCAGACCAAACAGGACAACAGCTCACAGCAAACATAGAAACTAACAGATAAACAGCAGCTGAACTGGATCTGTTTCACACATTATCTGTCATGTTTTTACAATAAATTAATAATGTTAATTTCATTCAACAATCATGTAAAACAGCAGATTTATATC